GGAAACGATTGGTAATCTGTGTTGGGTGCCACTTGCAAGACCGACACCCTGGCATCCACTCCTTTGGTTGCTGTATTTACAAAGCCACCTCCTGAAAGAGAAGTTTTGATTGTGTGAGGAGGGGAGCTTGGCTCAAAGTCTCACCATGCCTATAAAAAATTAAGGTGATGTCCTGAATTCAATTGCCCATACAAAAAAAAAAAAAAAAAAGGATTGGGCCAGGGATGTAGCTAAGTGGCACCCCACCTGTCTGTCAAGTACAAGATACAAAAAAAAAAAAAAAAAAAAAAAAAAAAAAAAAGTTACGGTGATAGACCACTCAAAAAGAAAATCAGGGTACTGTTATTGAAAGAAGGCAGTGTGAAATAAAACTCAAAGTTAGATGCAAAAGTAAAGCACAAAAACAAGAGTATCAAGTGCCCTCCTCCACAGGCCCTCCTCCTGTACATGCAAAGAAAACTGAGCTAAAGAGAAGCAGCAGTAAGTAAAGCGATTAGATGGAGTAGCTTGACTACTACTCAGAATGAGCCACGCTCTGGCATTCTGGTCAGCCTACTTCCCCTCCCTACACCCAGCACTGCCCTCCCAAAGAGGGAGCCTCTCTTCTTGATTTACATGAAGTTTATAAGGCACAAGTTCATTCCAGGAGCAGCTGACTCAAGGGAGGAAATTTTGAAGCTGTGGTTATACCTATGCATGAGGAACGTGTCTTCTCTGCTCAGCTATTAGCAATCAGACCCTTGGATGCAAATATAGGCACTGGTGTGTTTCCCTCTTAGATTTAAGAAGTGTCTGGCTTTAGCTGCAAGACTGGGATTGATGTTGCCCTAAGAAATACACCAGGGAACTTCTGTCCATCTCATCCCAGCTATATCTTCTGCCTTCCCTTCATCAATCTGAACATCCCAATTGTAGAGAGGATAAAGCACTCAAGTTCTATTGGGAACAGGCCTAAGAACTATGGGAACCTGTAATAAGCACATCGGTTTCATCCTTCAGATTCTCCACAAATATTTCATGGACATTGCTTCCTGCTGAATCCTTCACTCTTCACTCCCTACAAACACCTGCAAACCTGGTGCTAAATGTATGAGCTTACTCCCTTCCTTTACAAGGTGAAGAGTTTAAACAAAGTTCTCTCCTAAGGGTCCTTAAATTATAGTTTGATGCCCAGTTCAAAAACTTATTGATGTTACAATGAAGAAGGACTAGACTTCTTTTGACCAAGAAGTTTGGTCTTCAGATATTTGGAAGCAAAAATTGTAGGTTTGAACTCTTTCCCCTTTCCCATTCCCTGAAAATGTGATTTAATCAGCTTTTTGACATTTTCATCTATAGTTGTATTTTTAATAAAAGAAAGCTTTCTCGCACAAGTCAGTAAAAATAATTCAGTACTATTAAAAGATAATGATAAGGGCTACTATATTTTTTTGAAGAGAGGAGCACTAATTTCTAATCAGTAGTACGATGTAGGGATGCAGTAGGCAGTGAAATTGTTGAGTTGACCATGCTGTGTTTGACAGAATGACCGATGAATGTATACTTTTAAGCTGCTAAACCTAGGAATCACTGTCAAATGATAGAACAAAAACTCTATAAACATTACCCACAAAACTAAAACTTGTAACTATGGCAGATGTGATAGGAAGCTATTTCAAAATAGCTAACGCTTGCTTAACACTCTGTATAAATCTTTAAATTTAGCTTTCTTCAAAAATCTGCCTTATATGCCAAAAATGAGGTCATTCTGAGACCCAGGCTCTGTTTTTTAGCTCAGGCATTGGCTGACATCTGTTGCTTAATTCCTGTCAATTGAAAGTTCTAATCAAGGATGAATGTGCCTTTCTGTGTGTGCGCACATGTGTAATACACCTGTGAATGTATAGAGGACAGTTATAACATTTAGACAGATGCGTGCATGTATACTGACTAGGATCCTATATAGTTGCTCAAAACTACTAGCTTTTTGTTTTGTTTTTTTCTTTTTTATTTTTTTGGTGCCGAGGATTGAACTCAGGACCATGAGCTTGTGAGGCAGGTGGCAGAACCACTGGCCCCTCAAAACTACTAGCTTTAAATTAATTGTGTTTCTAAAGTGAGTGACTTCTTGTATAACAAGAAATCCTAAATGATGCAGTTGATGATGTCTCTTTCAGTTGCTCTGTAAAGCCCTCGGGGACCCAGGCTGCTTTTAACATCTCCTTTAGTACCACCGGCACAATGGCTTTCCCTGTGCTTATCACCTTGTGGTCAGAACAGGGTGCTACATCTCAGGTAGCACATTCACTTCAGAGAATAAGGAAGTCCTGTCTTCTGCCTCATCTCTCAGTGGCTTCCAGAAGCTGCATGCATAACTAGAAGAGCAGGGAAGTGGACTGAATGACTGCCGCAGACCACTGGGACCCACACTCTGGAGCTGAGCATGTTTAAACCTGAAACGCGATCAGAATGCTTTTATTTTAAAGAAGGAATGCTGGATAGGTGGCTATCAGATTTTGCCAGAACAAGAACATTGGGTAAATGAAGTTACTTTACTTAAACAATGCAATTGTGAAGGGTGATCAAGTATGTGGAAAATAGTAGACAAGAAAATTTCCTCAAAATAAATAAGATCGTCTACAGGATCTCACTGTAATTGGACTCATTTTAATTAACCAAGGGAATTTCATGTTACTTCTTACAAACTTCCAAAGGTCCTTTCACTGGAAAAAAGATACAGCCAGTCACTGAAATGAGTAGAGAATTCTGAGGTTGCTTTCTTAGGCAAATAAATTTTCAAGTAGACAAATGCAGTATATTTGTCTTAGAAGAACAGGCTTGAACTGGCAATATATTTTCAAAACAAGAATCACCTTGGACTGCAAAATGTGAATGTACCCCTGTCACATTAGGTGAGTGATTCTAACTTACATTAATGGACAGACTACATCTGTTGTTCCATCGTTGGCTTGTTCTGAGGCTGCCAGAAAGCATCTCATCACTTGGCATGCCCCACATATTAGATGGAAAGGAAAAGAGAAGAGATGTCCCTGCCGAAGCACCTTAATTATGGGTGGATATAATTATAGGTAGATAGAACCCAGCAGGGAGCAGCCACAGGCACGGCCCTGCTCAGGACTGTAATAAGTTAGCCAGGGTGAGCCTGTTCTGCTGACTGCAAAGAAACAAAGGTGTGGGGGAATTTCAGAATGCCCAATTTCTTAACTACCTCACAGTGCTGTAAGCAAGTCCAAGAAAGGTGGAAACCCAGGAAATTTGGAGTTGTAAATAATGGGTAATTGTCAGTACCCCACAAAGGTAGTTTCAAATGATTTATTTTCGAGTGCTCTGCTTGTTTAGCTCAGGAAATGGTTTTGAATTTGGAAAACTATATATATAAGCATTTTGAATTAATATGTATATGCATTCAATAAATATGTTTTCTTTTGATGTATTGGTTTATCATTACCATATTATAGTGAGTAGAAAAATAATTTAAAAGACTTTGCTCAAATACATAAGAAACATGATTTGGAGAGTAAGAATTCTGATAATCAATTCAGTTTTAAAAGTCCTGTCTTTATCACATATTACTAGGGCTATACCTGCAGATTAGGAAGCAACTGAAAGGATGGATTTTGAAGACTGTGGAAATATTGCAATAGACAACTTATAAATATACTAATTAAATAATTTGAAACATATTTGCATTGTATATGTGCATGCCTAATGGATGCTATTTTACATGATCACAGTGTTACAAATTCATTGTAAATGCCGAAATTCAAAGGAATTTGAAGAAAAGATGATTCTTTCTTTTACCTTTTTGCTTTGTTTTGGCTCAATTAACCTGACATAGTTCAATGAAAAAATTTATGAATTTCAGGAAATCTCATTTATAGCTTAGAGTTTTGTTGTGTTTTTTGTTTTTGTTTTTGACCAGGGATTGAACTCAGAAGCTTGTGAGGCAGGCGTGGTGCCGCTAAGCTAAATCTCTGGCCCACTTAGAGGTATTTGGATTTATAATGAAGTCTTTCCAATATAGAAAGGTCTTAAGATAAATATTTGTAACTTAAATTGTTATCTTTAAATGTCAAATTAATCTTTGATAGATCTACACTATTGATTTTCTAATCTATAGCCAGCCCAGTATTTCATCAGAGTATAATAGCAAACAGAACCAAATTACTTCTATTGTTTGGCAAGTGAACAAAGAAAAATAAAATATAATTAATTTCAAACCTTGTTACTAGCTAAATGGAATCTGTAAATATCTTACAATGTGGAGAAATTACTTTGACTTATGCTGTGAAGGGACAAAATATTATTTGTCTAGGGCTGGGGATTCAGCTCAGCGGTTTGGTGGCCTGCCTTGCAAGCGAAAAGACCAAGTTCAATCCCCAGTACCAAAAAAAAAAAAAAAAAAATTATTTGTCTAGTTATTTTTTAAAAAATTTTGTATAACTATTTAAATCTGTAGAGATAGTTTAGAATATAAAAACTTTGAAGGCATTATGCTAAATAATCAGTCATAAAAGGTGCATAGTATGTGATTCCACTTATCTGTGGGATCTAGAGTAATGAAATCCATAGAAACCGAAAGTAGGGTAGCAGTGGCCAGGGACTGAGGGAGGGTGGTATGGGAATTAATAAATAAGTAAACAGTTTTTTAAATTTCAATATTATATTTCAACATATACATTTTACGATAATTTCCATTCAAGACAATGAATACATTCAAGTACACGTGCAAAGCCCTGAGCATGAAGGACTTGGTAGACAATTATTATTTCAGTAAATGTCATCTGTTTTATTTTATTATTACAATATTCCAGAAAGTCAAAAGAGCAATTTGAAATGTCTTTTCAATGGGCTCATGAGTATGTTCGTGAGTGAATCCAATGACATTCTTATATTTTCCAAAATCCCTCAATGAGAATTTTTATTGTTCTAGGAGGAATCGTTGATAAAGACCTTCGTCACTACCTCAACTTACGATTCCAGAAGGGATCTGTTGACCACGAACTTCAGCAAATCATTCGAGACAACCTCTACCTCCGCACTGTGCCATGTGAGTACAGTGGGGATCATATTTTCTCCCTCTGTTGGTAGAAAAATATGCAGCTCTAGAGCCTTTGTTTAAAAGAAAAGTTCGATCTTGCTGATTGTTTTAAGATGGGCATTTGGAAAAGAAATCTGACTTGAGATAGGGAAGTTTTAAATGCAAGTTCTTCTAACTGTGGTTGTGTGGTTTCTGATGAAGTCATAGACAGAAGAAACTGGTGGTTTTTAGGCTATAAAATCTAAGTTACACTTCTCAATTTAGTATGGAAATGCAGATTCTAGTCCAGACATTTGATGATTCAGAGTGAATCAAGATTGAGGTAAAACTCCACTTCAGGAGACAGGAAAATACAAATTCAATTTCTTAGTTGTGAGTATAATCTACATAGTAAATTATATTTACTAAATAAAATATATCAGCTTTGCTTTGTAGCAGAGAGATTTCATAAGTGAAAAGGATGCATTGAAAAGTAGGAAGTGGGGCCAGGGATTTAGCTCAGCGGTTCGGTGGCCTGCATTGCAAGCGCAAGGACCTGAGTTCAATCCCCAGTACAAAAAAAAAAAGTAGGAAGTGATGAACAAATTTCTCACATGCAATTTATAGAAATCCACAAACATCAATTTCTGATTTTCCTTTAAGAGAGATGAATTGTTAAAATGAAAAAAAGAACAAATAAAATTCTTAGTGCCTATTTTACCTTATTTGACAAATTCTCTATTAACTTTAGGGCAAATAAAGGACTTTTCAACTCAGGTCCTAGATCCTACATGGATATCAAATTCCATTTTCTTTAAGGGAGATTTAATAGGTGCCAAGACTTCCCACTCTTCAGAAACTCAGATTTGTGGATATTGTCTGTATTTCTTTTGCTTTAGTTCTGAGCTTTAATAAACTCAAAGCTGTGGGCTCTGGAGGCTTAATATTAAAGAAAGAAAACTTGCTTAGCAAAAAATGAAATAAGCAAAGCAAACAAAAATTTGATATGGAGGATTGAGCCACCAGCACTATGTAATAATATAAATAGGTGAATATACTGAAATATTGCAAACACCCCCAAATGTGAAGGTGGACAAGCAATCACGGAGCCCTTGCAATCCACGTGCATTTCAAAAGGGGTGGATTCTGAGCAATGTTAGTGCTAAATATTCATCAAAATAAAAATGCCACAGCCCCACTATCAAATATCCCTAAATGAGAATGCTTGCTGGTTGACATCTTGTGGTCAAAATGATACTTCTTTCTGTGTGTGCTACATAGAGGGACAGACTTTTGGACTCTTGCTGTAAAAGGAGAAGTTGAGAAAAGTGCATTCTTAGACTCAGGAGCCTGGCATTAGAGTGATGGACCGGGTAGACGGGTGAAAGAAACTGACCAAATTATTTATAAGGTAACGGATGGGTGCATTTTCAAAGTTATAATGTTGTCACCGCAGCTATGTGAGTTTATCTTTTTGTGACATGAAAGAAAGGCAACCTGAAATACTAAATGAAGAATCCAGGCACTTTATTATGTTTAAAAGCTGAGGGAAATGGATAAGAGGCAGACATTCAGGAATACTTGTAGTCCTTGCTAAGGCAGTGACATAAATAAGAAATTCTTAATTAAATACGAGATAATAAGAGTAAAGTGTGCATTAATTAGCTTCTTAACTGAAGCACCTCTTTAGAGTAACAAAGAATGTGTTTGAAGGAAAAATAAATATGAAGGTAAAATATCTAGACTTACATGAGTGAACATAGAGTTTCAAGATGTGATTTTGGGAGAAGGTCATAAATTCAATTAGAAGGCCTTGAATAGCTCCTATAAAGAAGATAATTAGAAACTCAACGAATCTGAATGTTATGATGAAACAATTACGCTTTGGTTTCTTTGGGTTTTTTTTTCAGCCATGACTCCTAATAGCCAATTCCAATAACAGCATTCACTAATAGTGCTTTTATCTTGGTGTAAGAGTGAGGGAAAAAAAAAGACAGAGGTAGAGATGATTCTGATTTGTATTATTAGAAACCATTCTTATAGTAATGAATTGGAACTGGACAATCAATCTACCACCTTCACTCAGTATCTTTTAATGAAGTGTTCAGACATTTTCAGAGTATGCTATAAAAATGTGCAAATAGTATGAAGGCTCCCGCCATGGCTTAGACTCTTACATTAGATCCAGGGCATCTCTTGGTAATGAGTATGGAGTTGTACTTGTTACACATTCTCCTGGGTCACATGTTACCTTCAGCTTTCGTGAAACTTACATGGTAAAAGGAAAATGTGCTACCGAGGAGCACACCGTTGTTCTGGAACTTTCATGCATCAACATTTCCTCAGTTACCTCCAGCAGTGGCACCGGGAATGGGTCTTGGATAACTTCACTGAAGCAAAATTATAGTTCCTCTAAAATTACATGAAAGTGGACTCGTGTTTTCACAAGGTGATGAGTAATCCTGCCTTCTACATGACATTGCTTCTCTACCACCAACTGTAGCTAGAAAGAAAAGGGTCGAGTTTTGGAGCTGGCCTCCAGGGGCTGAGAGACACTCTGTGCATGCACTGTGCAGACCCAGTTGTGAACAGCATGCCTGCAGTGTGCACTTTGCAAGAAGCATCTGGCTGCTGGCTAATTTCCAAGCTACTCAGGTGAAAGAGGTAGCTAGTCCAGGTCTCCTCTGGGCTTTAACTGTAAATAATACAAATTTCTATCATTCTTTTACTTAAGTCCGCTGGGTTTGATTACAGTTAGTCTCCTTGTGTCTCAGAACCTAATTCTTCAAAACACTGTTTTAAAAGTCATATCCCTAGATATGGAGGGAGGTCTCAGTCATGGTGCAGATGTGGCAGACAGGCAGACACACGCACACATGCAAACACACATGCACACAGTGTTTGATGAAATTGATGCGGCCTTCCTTCAAATCATACCACAAAGTAAAGATCCCTAAGAACGGACTCCTGATATTTTCTGTAGAGCATAACAAGCCCATCCCATGATGACTCTTATTCACTGAAGACCCCAATTTGTGCTTAAATCCATGACTTTCAGTTGCTAATTATATAAGTAATCCTGGGGAAATAAAGGATTCCGGAGGATTTACACTAAATAAGGAAAGGTAATTGTTTCAAAGTGAAGACTGTGAACGCATTTTTTACTTTTAGTTTTCAGGCTATATAAGGTTTTTATGTAATCGAACTTCAGGTGAAACGAGTAAATGACCGCACCAAAACCATTGCGGCCTCGAATATGCTAAATGCTGATGTGGAAACGTCTGTGTAGACAAATGCTGAGAAAGGTCTGGATGTCGTGTGGGACTCATAGTATGGGGCTTCAGTTATGCTGAGAGTGCACCCAGGGCGTCTCAGAAGCACTGCCGGCCGCATTTATTTAGAGATTACACGAGATGGTTCATCGCAGCGTGTCAGATGTGCAGGGTAAAGCCCGCATGCACTGTCCCTGGAGGAGTAGAGATCCAAGTCTATGAGGGAGATTTCTGGAAATAACACGGGAAGATTGGATTAACGTGTAAATTTTAGAAATAAGGTTTATTTTGGCTTTAATGTTCCACTGAGCATCATGATTCCATGTATTTAACTCGAGTCAAATCAGCCACAGTTAAGCTGACCATGCTCTTTCCATGTGAAGAAAATAATCCCTCCGATTTATTGAGAAAGTTCTTGTCCTTTCTATGTGCGATGTGTATCAGAGACATGTTATTAATTTGTAAGGAAGGTGTGGGCACAGGTATAAATTTTAGATGCTTTTTTCCATTATACAAGATGAACGGTAAAGGACTTCAGTGAACAGTTTTGAAAGTTTCAAAACAAAATGGAAGATAGTTGAAATCTCCAAACACCTTATTTATTATTTATTGAGATATTTTTATTAAAAAATATTTTAAATTGATTTGAATCCAGAGGAAATGCCAGTGTATACCAAGCAAAAGACACAAATCAGTAAAACTATAGTCTAAAACTATTCCATGAAAAATGAATGAAATGAAAAACATATTTAAGATATGAAAGAAAATACTTTTATGGAAGATCTGATTGAGATATAACTCATAAAGATATTTCTACATATTTAAATGCCTCGTTAGAGCTGGGCACGGTGGCCTATGACTGTAATTCCAGCACTCGGGAGGCTGAAGCAAGAGGATCACTGTGAGTTTGAGACCAGCCTGGACTACACAGTGAGTTCTAGGTCAGTCTCAACTACATAGTGAGACGCTGTCTCAAAAAAAAAAAAAATCAGAAAAATGTTGAAACAGATGTATAATACACATCTGATTCGCTCAAATAAAAATCCTCAATTTAGAAGCTCTTTTTTGAAATTGTTTTTAGAATATAAATCAAATATTCCTTCATAATTATTTCAGAATCAAGTTGCCAGATTTTTGTTCTTTGAAAATGAATGTAATTTTTTAAATCGACTAATTATATTTGGTACTAAGTGTTGAAAATGAGGGTTATTTCAAAATAAATATTGTTATTAGCATTATGGACCAGAAGAAAAGGAAATATATAAACAAATGCAGCTAAGTTTTTTGAAGAATTTATAAATTGCCCTAGAAATCTGGATCAAAAGCAAAAATTCAAAGCTTTCTGAGCATAGCAAATGCTTGAAAACATTCTGCCCATTTATTCATTCCGGTAGCTTCCTGCTTGGTATGTTAAATGTGTTGTTCCTTTTCTGAAAGTTGTAATAGGCTTATGCTCTCTTCCTTCTCACTGAAAATATGAAGATCCAGTTTCACGCACATATGTGACAATACGATAAATTTCCTCTTCTGTTCATTGAACAGAATGAATGTGTCTTTTCTGGTCAGATAGCAACGTCCCTTGGTTTGGCTGACAGGGTACTCTACAGAGAAATGGCTTCAAAATATTGCTGAAAATGGAAAGTCAAGGAGCATTAGAAGTGATTGTGTTGATTTATCCATTCGACACCACAGGGCTTTATTTTTAGAATAAAAGAACCCGTAGCACAGAAGAATTGCAGTGAACACCTACAGTGGCAG